AGCCGTTGTCGATTCTGGGAACCCTACGAACGCGCTACGTGTATACAATGGAAAAGGAATAAGGGGATGGTGGTCGACCAATCGATGACACATACGGTTGCTAAACAGCAAGCACCGTGTCTCGTGATTTTTCTTCGATATCGGTCGCGGATAATTGTGCACCGTAATCGATTCTACGTCGACAGGTGTTCCACGATTATTCCACGGGAAAGGAGAAAATTTCGGAGAAGAAATTCCACGACAGGGATCTGTCGCAGTAAACTCTGTCCTGTAGTTATTGATTGATGAGTCATTAATACCAGAGAGTTGCTTAAGCAGTCGCATTGACCTCGAGTTTACGGTGAATCGAACAAAGAGCCGGCTATCTAAAAAAGAATCCGGCACGAGAACGAAAGTGTTTGGACATCGCGAATAGAGCTGTTAACCGCGGTGTGTTTCGCGAAACTACGAGCCTTGTAACCACTTGTAAAGCCCTGTACACGCTTGAGAAAAATACACCAACTTATGAACACTATATTATATACTTTCTTTTCAGATTCCTCCTCCGGAGAAGCGAAGGGAATCAATCGGTCGTGAATACCTTCTCGATGGAACGAGAATCAAGCCGCTATCGCGCTTGTGAATAATAATATCTCTCTTCAACCTCAAATATACCCTTCTCTTTCGCGCGTATGAAAGGATATTAATCGTTGCAGCTTCGTCCGATTATCTCGATTCAAATATTCTCGACGAGGCAACGCGCAACGAGAAAATTACGCGCAAGTGTGTACTGGGCTTGAGACAGCGGCGCGCTGGTTCTGTGCAGCTTGTTGCTGCTCCCGCGGCGAACTTTGCAACTGTTCGAACGGGTGGTCGCGCGTCTTGAAACCGTCGAAACCGATGTTAAGCAGTATCGATCGACGCTCTCCGACGAGGAGGGAAGAAGGCTTTGTGTATCGCGCGTAACCCGCGCGCTTCTTTGCCCCGGAAAAGAAGCTGGGCAAACTTCTTCCCGCGTTACTTTTCCTTTCGAAATCACTTTCCTTACAATCCACGAACCCAAGTAAGAAACCAATTATCCGGAGTGAAACGTTTCACCCGATCATTTCTGCTCGTGAAATGGCATATATTAAAATAGGTTTTATATATATATGTGTGTGTATACACACGTACAGTTTCTGGTGAAAGGATCGACTTTGTTAAAAGCGGATCTCGGTTTGGCAAAAAGTCGTTTTATTAAAAAATGTTTAGACGTCGACAATGCGGGTGAAATGGTTAGATAGACTATTTTTACGTTACGAGCAGGTTGAATAGCTTTCTCGACTAACTCAGAAGCGATTCTAATGCTTCGTTTCCGACTCGAGATCATTCGACAATGCGCGTTAACATACATACGCTCGGCCGGGAAGAACGATTTGTGATATAATAATGGGGACATTGAGAAAACATTTCTATACATCTGTTTTTTCCCGCATTTAGGGAAAAAAGGGGATTGAAATGTAAAATTGATCATTTGGATTATGAAAAATGAAGGATTTCCAAACTTTTCGAGGGATAAAAATCTCTTTCGAGTTCGAGTATCGTGTTCGCGATATATAATTTTGATTACCTCTGCTTTCGATTCTACGAGTCATTTCACAACGGTAAAATTTTGGAAATTTGGGGGTGGAGGGGGAAGGATCAAAGTGGCAAATAGTAACGCCTTCGCTCGTCGAGGCTCGAAAACACGAAAACCAACGAAATCGATCGCGGTATGTGGACTCTATTTACACTAGCCATGCAATTCGCGAACCCGCGCGAACGGTTTTCAATGTGGTCGGGGCCGAATTTTGGTTTCGAAGTCGAAATCACATCGAAATCGGTCGTTAAATTATTTTACGTAACGTAACATCGAAATAGCAAAGATTCTAGGTTCTTATTCGTTGATTCGAATCGATCGACTACTCGTCCGTCGATTTGGATTGGCTCGCGATGAGCGAAACTTGTTGCAAATGATTTTTCGAAAACGAAGAGATCGATGGAAACAATCTTGTAAAAAGATCTTAGAAGATATTCAATTAAAATATTGTACAGTTTGGGAGAAAAAATTCAATTTCCGTTATTGATCGAACTACTTCACAAAGAGAAAGAACCCCGAAGCGGAAAATCGAGTCACCGGAGCATCATCCTTCCTCCCTTCCTTCCGCCCCTTCCTCACGAAAAATGTTCTTCGGTCCATTCCCTCGTCAAACGATCGAAAAACTCAAGAAATCTAAAATTTAATCTCGAAAAGGATGTCCAAACCAATTTTCCAATAAGAAATTCCCTTAATTCTCAAAATGTCACGACCCAAAAAGAAAAAAAAGAAAAAAGAAAAAAAAATTCAATCTTCCTTATCGACCGATCAGATCAATGTTCCAAGAACTTCATCGGTAAACCCGAATGTTGTTTCGTAAAACGCGACGACGAACGTCCAACGCGAGATCTTGTTTCGCGAGGTTCCCGATTTCCGAGCGTGTGTGTTCTACGGCACCAAGTGTTTCTGGAAATCACGGTGTGTCGGTGGAAAAGCTCTCGCGGATTTGGCAACACTGTGACGTGCTGGGCGTCTCGCTAACACTCGACGGCGCGAAGGACGAGGGGGCCACACGGAGATCGGGGCGAAAAACCGAGAGTGGTTTTACGCGACGGAGGTGGGGGGCGGAACCGAGCCGCGGCAGAGGAAGGTGCCGAAGGGACGCGTGAGACTGACCGGGTGGTGGGGGGACGAGTCACGTGACCGCGAGTGGTGGGGATCGCGCGGGCGGAGTGGGGATTCGGTGGGCGGGGCCAATGGTTTCTCCTCCGTTGACGATTCTCGGGATGCAGGGCGCAGGTCGATTCGAACGATCCGCACGAGGGACGATACGATGGATGGGGAGAGGGGGGTGAAGGGGCAGAGGAGGAGGATGGGCACGGGGTGATGCTCGTGACGCTGGCTAGCGCGAATTTTGGCACAGCTCGCGAAAATTTCTCACTCGACTTTCCGCGGAAAACTCGGACGGCTCTTGACACGGCCAATCGGCTTGAATTATGACTGATGAAGTGCCGTTTCGCGGGCTAATGGAGGAAACCGACCGTCGAGGCTAGCCGGTGTTAAGTATGGATCAGTTCGCTACCTACGTGAATCTCTCTTGACCTGGCTCGAAACGACAGAGACTAAAATTGGAGACGTTGGATGGCATCGTTGATTTACGAGTAGATTCAGACGTACGTATACTAATTTTACCGATGATAGCGATAGTCGATTGGTTGGTAAGATGCGTTCGAGTTGTTAACTTCGAACGAAAGAACACGGTGGTAAGAATATAATTCTTGTTCGATCTTTTTGCTTTCGCAGAGAGGACGCTTTATTCGAAGAACGAATAAATAAGATCGATCGATTTCCACGGATCAAGAATTTCACGGAGAAATCAATGTGAAAGCTTCTTTCGAAAAAGAAAAAAAAAAAAAAAAAAAAGTACTCGACACCTCGCAAATACTCTCTATCAAAAACATCTCGTCACAGAACACGTTTCCCCTGTTCCTGAAAAGCTGCATGATTTTATCGCCCGATCCGCGGCAAAGCCCGTGAAAATCCAAGCAACGTGTCAATCGGCTGCGTTGTCGACAGCGAAGTTTCGAGCAACGTCGATCACCTCCCCCTCTCTCTTCCCCTCCCTTTCCCAACAACCTCGCGAACAACCCGATGCCGCGGGGAGGGTGGTGTTAATGGGCGTATTCGCGGTTAACACCCTTAAATTCGCGCTGGGGAGGGGAGGGGACCGACGGCCGGGGAAGAGAGAGAGAGAGAGAAAGAAATAGTGACGAGGGAAGAACATCCGGAGCGTTGTGCAGAAGTCTCGTCGTCGGGGAGGGGGTAACGAGGACGGAGACACAGAATTCACCCGAGAGAGAGAGAAAGAGAGAGAGAGAGAGAGAGAGAGAGAGAGAGAGGAACGGAGAACGTCGGAAAAGGCGTCGAGAGCAACGCCGCTCGGATTGGCGCCGGAACGCCAATCCGAACTACGAGCGCTCATTATCGCCCGCTGCTCGTTGTGGTGGGGAGTCGGAGTAGACAGCTCTACCCCTCCTCGTCCTTCTCTCGGCCGCTCGGCTAGTCTCGTTCTTGTTCGACGCGGTGGTGCACCGCGGTCGCCTGCTAAGTTGTCGAGGCAGGTTTCCCCCACCAGGGCTCCACGGCCGAACGGTCGAAGGGGAAGGGAGGAGGAGCCCCTGCACCGTCTCAGTCTTCGCGTCGCTGCCCTCCAGCATTCACGCCTCCCGCGTCCGTTCGCAGCGGCGCAGGCACACTCCGGTCCGGTCTGTACGTACACGCACATACACGCGGCCTCCCCCTCCCCCTCCCGCCGCCGCGCCCCTCACCCTCTCTCCCCCTCTCCCTCTCTCTTTCTCCCCCCTCCCCTGCTCAGCCGTCGCTCCCGCTCCGTCCCGTCTACACGTAGACGCGCGCGTACACACGCCCTGAATCCGGACGAGGACTTTAGCACACCAACACCTCCGCGGGAGGTGTGGGGGTGAGCCCCCAGAGGAGGTGTCAATCCTAGCGCTGCTCAGTGACCATCGCGGCGCCACCCAAGTAACACCTTTCGTCCGCTCTCCAGCCCCGGCCGAGGCGGCTAGCGCGCACAGCACACAGCGTTACAGTGTCGTCCAGAGAGCGCCTCCTCTCTCTCGGTCTTTTCGATTCCTCTCTCGCCTTTCGCGTTTCGCGCTACGCTTTCCAAACAACGACCGGTCCAAACTGTCCTCGTCCTCGGCCCGTGTGTATCGTCCGGCCGTCGGACGGATTGCCGGTTCCGCGCGACCCGTTTCTCTCTCATTCGCTTTCCTCTCCGCTTCGTAACGACGAGGGACAACAGGCGCGAATATATATATATATATATATATATTATACGTATATATATATATATATATATATCCGAGGAGGGCGAGAAAGAAAGAGAGTTTCTTTTTTTCCGCCAATGCCTCGGTCGCGTGTCGGTGTCGGTGTCGCGTGAACGTTTGGATTCGCCTCGCGTCCCTCGAGTAAGTACACGCGTTCGAAGTATACGAAATATACAGTGGTAAAAGTGTGCGCGCGTGTCGCGTCGAACTTGCTTGCTCGCTTGCTTGACCGCGGGTTAAGTCACGGGACGGGACGGAACATTTGTAGGTGTTCGAAACGAAGAAGTGAATGATGAAGTGAACAGTGAAAAGCAAGAAGAATATACGACGAATCCTCGAGGTGGTGGTTTTGTTCGATCGATCGGTGCTTTCGGCCACGGTGTGACTCTGTCCAAGCGCCACCGCCGTCTCTCCGCGAGCCAGTATCACCGTATCAACGCATCTTTCCTCGTGGATGAGTGCTCTACGCTTGCCGGTGCTTCGCAAAAAACTCTCCTCCCCCGGTGTTTCTCGCAAAGTAAATTCGTGATATCCTACGAGAAAGATATTGTTTCCAAGTGAGAGGCAGGGTTCCAAGGTGAGAGGGTTCTCGAGGGTACAGGAGGAGGAAGGAGACGTGCGATATGTCGAGCGGACGGCTCGCGACGGACTTCGAGGGGAGATCGCAGGGGGAGCGACGAGAACGCAGCGTGGATCGAGGCCTACGCTCCTGAACGTTTCGTCCACGTAGCACGTTGCAAATTCGTGGAAAAACTCGCGAGTATGCCCGAGATCCGAGCGACGGCCGAGACTGGAATCGCGCTGCACCTGGTAACATCGGCGTCACTCGACGCGGCACGGATCACTGAGATACAACGGTAATCGAATCCTACACGAAGAAACAAAACATCCCTCGTGTATCGAAAAAGAAGAAAGAAGAAGAGGAGGAGGAAGAGGAGGAAAAGGAAAAAAAGGAGGAAAAAGAGAGGAAAAGAAAGGGAAAAAAAACCAACCGCAACGTCTAAAATTCGATCCCCCGTAATGTGTATTGTGTTGTTGTGCGTGTGAAATCCAAGTTGTCGAACGGTAAGAAAGAAAGAAAAGAAGAAGAAGAAGAAGAAGAAGAAGAAGAAGAAGAGTAGAAGCAAGAAGAGGGCGGGGAGAAGAAGGAGAGGAAAGAGAGAATCGAAAAGAGGAAGGGGGAAAAAATAGGAAGAAGAGGAAAAGGAGGAAGAAAAGGGAAAAGCCTCCCTCGGTTTTACAGAGTCACTCGAAGAGGAGAATCTCGCGCGACTCGGCACACCCGCCCGTCTCGATGAGATTCGAACAAGACACAGCGTGCAGGGGTACCCACTGCGCCAGCACTCCGCAACCCTCCGCGCTGCAGCAGCGATCACGGATCGAGGAGGTGGTCGAGGAGGAGGTGGACTCCTCCTTGAAGGACATAGACGTAGGCCAACGGCGTAGACGAGAATTGGAGGCTAACGTGGTCGAGGGTGCGAACACGGGGCCGAGGGCCGAGGCGGGGGGGCCTGGGATGGCGTACCCCGCGTCAGCGACGGCTCTCAATCAACACTCGGCCTTCGCAGCCACCTCGATCGCTGGCACGCCGCCGGCCAACCCCAACGGCCACATAACCGGCGGCCACCTGCCCGCGCCGGCCGCCCCGCGCCCGACGGACTTCAGCGTCTCCTCCTTGCTCACCGCCGCGACCACTCACCCCCCGATATTAGGCGGCTCGTCCTCGCAGGGGAGCGCGTCGCCGCCGCCCGGCGGCCCGGGTAGCCCGGCCGCCGCGCCGGAAACGCCGCCCCCGTTGCCGAGCCAGAGGGAATTGTCCCATCCGTCCTCGGCGGTCGCCGCGGCCAGCTACTTCAGCGCTGCCGCCCTGGCGGCGGCCGGATTTTACAATCCGGCGGCCCATCTGCCGGCGACCAGCTCGCCAGGCCCGACGGCCCATCATCTGCAGGGGAAAGGGATCCTCAGCGGCACCCATCATCATCCGCATCTTAACCCCCACGGTATCACGCCGCCAGGTGAGCGATAACGTTTATGGATCTCTCTCTCTCTCTCTCTCTCTCTCTCCTTCTCCTTCTTCTCTTCGTCTCGCTTCCTCCTCGCGATTATTCTCTCCGCCCGAGAGAAGTGTTTTCCTTTGGGAAACGGTGGTGGTGGTGGTGGTGGTGGTTTTAGGATGGCGGTAGAGAGAGAGAGAGGGGATGTCTTTCGTGATTCCTTTCCTTCTTGCAAGGAAATTTTTCCCTGTTGTGTTCGGTGGAGAAAGGGGAGGAAAGGGGAAGGAGGAGGTTAGAGATGTAGGTCGACGATGGATTCGTTTTTTGGGAGGTTTTTATTCATTTATAGATCCTTGTGTTTCTTTATCACGCTATTGTAGAATATATATCTATTTAGGTATTTAGAGAGATGGGTTGAAGCAGATATTTCTTTTTATCAAGGAAGGAGAAATGGTGTTAAGTAGAAACGTTAAGTTAGCAACGTATAACGTCTTTCATTCTGGAATGGAAAGAATGGAGTTAGATAATAATCTTGATGAAAATCGTACAAAATCCGTGAACGCTCGAGTAAAGTAGTTTTATCTTGATCTAGAGATCTGTAGGAAAGCAGAAGCTTTTAATTAATCCGTGAGAATGTTTCTTCTGTTCCGAGGCAAAAAGTATTTATACTTTTACATTGTCTCGTCAAAGGTTGAAAGAGAAAATGAACTTCGACGTTCATCCAAGATTCCACTCGTCACAACTCGTAGAAACGTAGCGTTGATAAGCGAATCTGATAAACATCATTGTCACGAATAGAGTCACGATGGATCTAATCTGTTGGAGAATCTGGATTGAGACGTGGATTATTTGATTCGGGTAGCAGAGAAAAATAGTAGATAAGAATAGTTTCTCCTACGATTGCGTAGAATTCGGTAAACAAGCTTGGTCGAACTTGAAATTGGATCCAACTATGGCCGAGGAATTTCTTCGATCGTTCGCGATTCGTGTTACTCCAATTGGAAAGCGAGGGAAGTGGATAAATTTTTGGCCAACGGTTCCCTCTCCCCCCCTGTCTGTTCGTGAAGAGTCAGTTGGGAAAAGAAATTATTCTTCTACTCGTGGTTTCTTAACCTAGACAGAATTGTCGAAAGAGAATTTGTGGCGAGAATTAATCTTTATCTTCGTCGGACTCAACTTTCAACAATATTGAAAATTTTGTATCGCGGCGACTAAAGATCCATCGTGCGAAGCATCAGTCGTTAAAACTGAAAATCTTTTTATAAATTTTCCACTCAAACTCGAAATTTTGCGATACTAGAAAGATTAGAAATTCTCTAAGAGGAGATCGATCTAACTCTGAAGAATCCTTTCTTCTCTTCTTCAAACCATCTCAAACTCTCGAATTACTTCTTACAACGCTAAGAAAAAGAAAAATTCTATTATTCGCTGCACAAGGTTTCGCAAAATTTTCTAAATCTCTCTTCCAAATCCTCGAAAATCGCAACGAGAGAAAAAAGCCGCGCTTACGATTCGAAATACCGTCGTGGAAAAATCGGGCGGCGTTTAATTACATTTAATAATGGATCCAGTTCGTTCCACGATCGACTTGTTGCGCGCGGTTTGCGCAAACCGCCGCCGCGATTTCGGCGCGGAATTCGCCACTTTTTCGAGGTTTATCCATCCTTCGATAACCGATTCTATTAGGATTCTTCCCTCCTCGAGGTAAATTCTCGAAAAAGTGACGAGAGTATCTCGAGATGGACGCGTTTCATATATATTTACGTTTCACGTTCGATCGGTTTGTTAAAACCGTATCCTCGCTCGCCTCGCTTGAAACGAATCGAAACAGGCATTGTTGGAACGGAGTTTGCGATAGCCGGGAGTTTGCGGTTTTGGGTGAAACGGCAGGGAAAGATGATTTGTTTGGCGGACGAAAATTGGTTTGTAAAAGCGGTTTGCTCGAATCGATGAAGGATGAATTAAAATGAGCGAGAAGAAGTGGCTCGAGATGGGAATAGCATAAACGGTTGACGGTTATGTTCTACTCGGTGAAACGGTAGAATTATTTATGGATAGATAGAGAAATATGTACGCGAGTATATATATATTCTTACTGTTGTAGTATAAGAATAATTTATAGGGTGTGCGATACAGTGATGATGAAAGTGTAGAAACATAAAGTTCTCTATTAAGTTAGGTGTTCTTCTTGGGGAGATTTCTTAAATTTTGGAGCGCGATTCGAGTTTGGAAGCTTCGTGACTACGTGCAATTTTGTATCGAGAAGGAGGACTTTTTCCTTTCCTTGTGTGTGTAATTTTGAAAAAGTATTGGTGAAATTAGGAGTGTTGTTAGCATCCTGGTCGATGGCAACTATTTTTTCGAATCCAAGAATTCGTTCGCTCGAATCGATTGATGATGGAAACAAAGGAATCGAAGGAAATTTGATCGACAAGCTCGAGAAATCGAAACGAAAGCGGAAACTTTACGACGAGGCGAGGAAAAAGTTGCGGGGAAAATTCGTTGATGTTGCAACGAAAGAAAAATTTACAATTTTTTCCCTTGCTCTAAATTTTGGTTGGAAAATTATTCGAAATAATAATTTATTTATTATTTTATCCTCGGAAAATTAATTCGACAATTATATATGCAACAAGTAGTCGAAGTAAAATTAACCTAACCTCGATTTTTCCATTTTTTTTTCTTTCTTTCTTTTTTTTTTTTTTTGATCTTGAGGACATATTTACAGTATCAGGTGTCAGCTGAATATAAAATGGAAGCTCAAGCTGCCCTGTGTGTCGATCACATTTGAACAAATTATCGAAATTTTCTATTCGTCTATTTCTCTCGATTTTTTTTATTTTTTTAAATTAAAAGAATTGACCAAAACCTTTACCCTCCTCCCTTGCGCGAAACGAAGACTCCTCCTTCCTCTTTCGACTCACTTTATACACCTGATTACTCGGTTACAAACTATTCAACCGAATTCTCGAATTTTCCTTCTAAAAATATCTTATTCGTTCGAGCAACGTTCCCTCTCCCCCCTCCCTCCCTGCTCGACATATAATAATCAGAAAATGGGAACTCGTATCTTGATCAACGATCTTGAACCGACAATCGTCCAAAAAAGAAAATCTAATTTAATACTCCGCAACCTCAGAGACAAAGATCTCGTGTCTGACCGGTAGTGTCCTGGCGCGGTGCCATCCTGAAACCGGAAGCGCGCTCGGTTTCCGCGTCTCGCGCGTCTCTTACGCAACGCGGCCGACGGGAAAAGTCTGGAAAAGTGGCGCTTTTGTTCGAAAATGCCCGGTTGGACGTTGTCCGACGCGATAAAAACGTGGCTAATTAACGCGGCGTAATTATTCCCTCGCGTTCAAATCCTTTTGATTATCGTAAAAGACTGTAATAACGTAAAAAAAAAAAAAAAAAAAAAAAAAAAAAA